GTTTTCATAACTTCCCGATCAGATACATATTCCTCCTTAGAACGGTGGCCAAGTCAATCGAAGTAGCCTGAATCCAGTGTCATATTTAGGTCAGAATTCAGAAGCAGCTTCGCTTAGAGTCGAAGTCTGGTTAAAATGAAGCTATAAGGATTAATGGGCGAATATCAAGATCATGCACCACTGATTTAAAGACTAAAGATTAAGTTCAAAACAAAACTAGTCAAGTCCAAGCTTAGTAAGAACCGCGACTCGTTTACAAAGTAATTTGACTTAATAAACAAAGAATAATTAGCCCATCCAAGCAAGAGTAAGCATGCACATACGAAACGGATAAACACAGCGACATAGAGCAAAGTAATAAGTCGGATGAGGTGTATCCGCTAGGTAACTATTGTAGAAAAGTAACTTCGTTTGATTTTTGAATCTATTAAGAATTATTGTTGAAGAGACTGTCACTTTGTATAAAAGTGCATGGTCAAGAGATTCGAGGGTTTATCTCACCATATGATTACAGCTGATTCCCATTTTACTGCAGCTGCTTGGCCTTGATGCGACGTCCAAAGATTTTACAAGAAATAAGCCTTAATGTGGCTCTCATACTTAGACTTCTTAACCTATCCCTAAGTAGACCTTATTTGACCTTTAAGGTAAATTGTATAAACATAAACAGGGACTTGCGGCAGGATTTTGCTTAGCTTTCATCTTTGCAAGCAAATATATAACCAAACTTGAGAAACGCCTATTGGAAAAGTTAATATTAGGTCCCAAATTATTGATTCGATGCGTGGATGACTATATTGTTATCTGGCGGCATGATGAGGAAAGATCAGATTATTTCCTGCTTTTTCTTAACCAACGTAAAAGGGAAATTAGATTAAAAATGGAAACTTAATAGGATATAATAGGTCTTTACTCTTTTTGGATGTTCTGGTCATTAGTAATAGGACAAGTTAAGAAGAGTGGTCTATATGAAGCCAACATATGTTGGCTCTTTCGTGAATTTTATTTCCACCCATCATTACAAAGTAAAGTTGGTATCTTGGAGTAAATGGTCATTAGGAGAATAAAACTAGCTGAAAGATTTATTATCTGAGTATGGTACGTCTGTTCGTAAAACGAAGATAAGAGATAGTATCAAAATTATCAGGCTAGATAATACGTTGAATGTGAGAAACGGTGTCAGAAGGATGAACAAGAATTACTTGTGCTTGATCGAAAGATTTACAGGGTGTTAAGCCGCCATCCAAAATGCGACTAAACTTGTATACTCACTAATGGTCCTAACTTTATTTGCGCTCGTCCAAAAGGTTAGATTAAGCTCATACACCAAAATAAACGCATGAGATTACGCAATAATAGTGACTTTCCTTGGATCGTTAAACCTTAATAACCCCAGACTGATGGGTCATGGCAGGTGGTTTCGTAACCTGACTGACACGCTTATAAGCTTGCATGGCATTAGCTCAACCAGAGTTGCTTACTGATTTAGACAGACGCGGTCAGGGTTTTTTAGGTCAGTAAGCTTTAATGATACAAGTCTAGGATTAGGCCCTTTTAATCACTCCGATTTACGACCGGTATTGCGTATAGACGTTAAAACGCACACACTTAAGTAAAAGTACCACGATCAATGTGAAAGGGAATTAGCTAAATCATTCTATATATACATAAGCATTTTCGATTTTATAATGAGTATATATAAGACGTAAGATAGAGCCGGACTGTCTTCTGACAGTGTTAACTTAAGACTTATACAAGAATGAGTTGCAGCTCTGATAATGCACATCATATGATGAACTAAAGCACGACCCGTTTTCACCCTAAGCAAAGAAGGATGCCTCATAAACTGCGTCAACCTGAACGTTATATTAAAAAAACGACTGCAACACAATAACAATCAGCTGTCACCTGGCGAGATCGACGCTGGAATCTCTTCACCATGCACCTTCATAGTTAAATCAGTCTTCCCAATTCGTTGAAATCCAGTTACTCTCCGTAACTCAAATATCAATATGAAATGATACAACGAATCACAAGTACTGAAAAGCGAAATTTGAGCAGTTACATAGACAAAAACTCACAAGTTGTCTTTGCATAAATGGCCTTCCCAATCTACTTTTTCTGTAAATCCCTTTCGATAAGGAAAACACTTGGCGATCATAGTTGCGCCTACCCACAGCCCAAGACAACTAAGTACTGCCATTAAGGTACAGAGGCAACGGAAAGTAAATGGAAGAATTCCAGCTGCTGCAGGATAGCCTTCGCGCCAAGGAGTGACAATCATGATTCCGCTAGCAGCTAAGGCTTGTCCAAATGTAGCTGCTGTACCCAATCGTATTCGGTCCTTTGAAGTGATAGCGAGATCGGCCAAAAGTGCATCATGTTGCAGAACCAACATAGTCAATGCGGAATCATAAAAGCAAATGACCAGTGCAAATCTGATTCCTGGAAGATGCTGAAGCATACATGGATTCCATGTAAAAAGAAAGGCAATAGCAAATGCCGGAGCCGTCAAACTTATTATGCAGGATCTATATGCAACGGTGTTTACGTTCTTATTATTAAACAAATGGCGATCAGTTAGCCAGCCGAATAATGGATCATTTAAAGAATTCCATATAAGAAAAACAAGTTCTCCAATCCAAAATGCAGATTTTGAGATACCAAATACAGTAAGAAACGCATCAATATGATGGACGATAAATATATTGTGAAGCAGGCTTGTGCAAGCGGCAATGAGCCCATAATAAAAGCAGATGGTGTCTGAAACCAATTCATGCCTCATTTTATGATAAAAAAATTTATAATTCTGGTTTAATCTAAAATAAAATAAAATAAAAATAGAGGTAATTGTTTAGAAAATTATCTGTAGGCCCTTTATGGTGGCAATGAGCCATAAAAAAACGTTTAATTTAGCATTAATAGTAGGATTGAGAATGGAATAATTAAGGAAACTACAAAAATAGATACGCACATAGTTATGATATTAAATAAAATTAGGCTAAATACTGGCAGCTACCTTCATCAAGCAAACAAACAAATTAGCAAAGGGAGAGAGGGCAAAAAGGCAGGGTAAAAAGGATGAATTGTGCGGGAAGACTGGCAAAAATGAAATATTCCAATGTGATATAAAAGAGATATTCAATAGACAAAAATTTCATAGTTAACTAGTAATTTATATTATTTATATAAATAATGTTATTCATTCATTCTTACATTAATTTTTCTCTTGAGATTCAGGCTAGTAAAGCAGAATTTAGAACTGTGATAAACTATGAATAGATCAAATAAATGACCATTACTTCAGCACTATAATACAAAAGTTGATATCAAGCCCTTAAAATTTAATATTAGAAATGAACTTATTTTATACCTTATAATTTTGACAATTAGTCTGTTGTGGCTTATCCCAAATAGTATTTCTTCCCATCAATTTTAATTTTATTGAACTTCGATTAGGAACTTTTAAAGTATGGCAGTTGTTTGTGGCCTCTAGAGTAGTCATTTAGCCGTGTAAGTAAGCCTCGAATGTCCACCTGCATCATAAATAAAGCGACCTTAACTCTGTGTAAGTATAACCTCACCCACCCAAAGTGAAGCTTAAGCAGACCCTTTTAACAGCTTTTAAGTCAGAGTCTATGATGACAGGACTTTTGTTGCTCCAAAGCGGCAAATAAACTTTAACCGTAAAGACTTAATACATTGCTATGCCTGTAAATTGTCCCTCCATGCCGTATTTATTTGTGGTACTGCACTACACAGTCCATCGTCTATGGAATGGTTAGCAGCATCCTCCTCTGAATGTTCACTCAATCACTCATAGGCATAGAAGCCTAATATAATTTACCGCCCCGTAATTATGTGCACCTATCTGACTGTCTAAAGCATATTCATTGCTTTCTTT